ATTATATATTCTGGATAGGAATTCTTTGTCAGATAGATATATTGTACGTATACATACATGGGTAGGAAAATTTAAATTGAAAATATTGACAATAGCATCCAAACACCTAAAGTGGGTAGGAATAAATATAACGAAAGACGCAAAACAACTTTACACGGAAAACCGTAAAACACTGTTGAGAGGAAAACAAGAAGACTGAAATAAATGGGAGATACGCTTTGTTCATGCATTGGAAGATTTGATGTTTTGAGATTCCTGTTCTCCCTGACTTGATCCGTGGAATCAGTGCAATCACCGTCAAAATCCTAGCCATCTTTTTTTTTTTTTTAGAAGAAATTAACAGATTGTTTCAAAAATGTATATGGAAACGTGAAGGGTCTTGAATATCCAAAAAAGTCTTCAAACGAAGAGCAGAGTTGAAGAATTTAAACTGCTTAATACTGCTTAATTTGAAGACTTGCAGTAAAGCCACAGCAATCAAAGTCTTTGGCATAAAGATAGATCAGTGAAACAGAATAAAGAGTCCAACAAATAGACCAAACACAAGTACTGTTGGTTGAACTTCACCTAGATTGTCAAGCCAATTCGGTGGGCGAAAGGGACGTCTTTTTAATGAATAATTCTGGGTAAAGTGGATATTCACGTGGAAACAAAATGGGCCTTAGCCCCTACCTCGTTGTGTACACATTAATTTGGGATGGATCATAAACTGAAATATAAAAGCTAGAACCATAAATCTTTTATATGAAACCATGAGAGCATATGTTGACAACCTTGAGGTAGGCAAATGTTTTGGATACAGAACCAAAAAAAGCACTACTTACAAAGGAAAAATGGATGCACTGAGAAAATGAACAGGCAAGACAGACTGGGAGAAAATATTCAGACTACATGTGCTTAAATGTTTTATTTTTTCCAAAAGAACTTTAGCATTATTCAGGCCCATGACATCCTGTTACTATATTCTGTATTAACTGGGTTTTTTGTTTGCTTAAGTCAGATATGAGACATTGTACCATGGGAACTTTCTGATTGACTTCTCCTACTTAACTCACCTTCTTGTGAATGTTGGTTCCTTTTTCATAAATGCCTTGCCCACTAGTCAATGAGTACTTACAGTGGAGGCAGTAGATTTTAGGACATATTAATCCTTGTAAAGTAATTGGATGTTAGCTGAAGCCAAAAGGCAATACCAGTAGCCTCTGTTGGGAAGAAACGATAGCGTGTGAGTTAATTGAGGCTCAGTTTTGGTTTTTTTTTTTTTTTTTTTTTTTTTTTTTTTTTTTTAGGTGATTCAACACTTAAGGCCTTGCGGATCTACTTAAGAAAGCAACAGAGCTCACAAGAAAGGAAACAAACTGAAAGTCTGTTTAGGTACAAAGTCTGTTGCCCTTAAGACTTTGCTTCCTGCCTTCCATTTATAACCAAGAATAAAACTACCAAGAAATAGAAACAAAAAGAAAAAAAGAGACTAAAAGAAAGAACAATAAAATTAACAATAAGAGGTAGAGCCGTATCTTAGGTTAGTATGCAGTATGTAGTTCAAATTTCAAACTTAAAAATTGATGCTAAGAGTATCGGATTGATTTTTGCAACTGCATTTAAGTACGTTGTATGTATGTGTATGTGTGCATACGTTACATATATGTTTAATGTACATATAAATGTGTGTGTACATATATACACACACACGCACACGTAAACACACACACATACACACACACACAGATATCATTTAAGCAACTGAAGTGTCGGGGGAGGGATCCAAATCCAGGTGGGTAAATAGGTTTGAAAAGCAATAGAATGAAATTTTCTTTTTTTTTTTTTAAATTTTTTTAATGTTTATATATTTTTGAGACAGACACAGACAGAGCATGAACAGGGGAGGGTCAGAGAGAGAAGGAGGCACAGAATCTGAAACAGACTTCAGGCTCTGAGCTGTCAGCACAGAGCCCGACGTGGGGCTCGAACTCACGGACCGTGAGATCATGACCTGAGCGGAAGTCGGCCGCTTAACCGACTGAGCCACCCAGGCACCCCTAGAATGAAATTTTCTATAGGGTTCTGCAGCTTGAGGCACCGACCTTCACCTCAGTCTGTAAAGCAGTGCCTCCCACGGGGGGTCACTATGAGGGTTGTAGGCGTTCCGTTCCTATTGGTCAAGCATTTGGAATGATGCCTGGCATTGTAGTCAACTCTCAGGAGTGTTGACAGAAGTAAAATGAACCTGGCCTTGATCCTCACTGGCTGGGAGAGCGTGGAGGGCCCCTGCCCTTTCCTTCAGGTGAAGAAATCCCTGGCGGAGAGCATGTCACCCCCTTCCTGTTGCAGGTGGTACTCATGCCTATATGGCAGAGTCAGTAAATGCTCTCGAGTGACTGGGCGGTTGGCCCAGATCAGTGTTTCCCACGGAAGGAATGTGAAATGACTTTAGGTGGCACACAGATGTTTGAAATTTTAATAGTTAGGTATTTATTATAGTGTGTGTTAGAAGAAAATCCCATGTAGCACGTCAGACCTGAGTAGTAAAGAAAAGCGAGTTGATTTAAAGAAATGTTACACTGAACAGGTGGTATGTGAATGTCATGAAAATTTCAAAAGCAATAGGGATTGACCGAAGACTGCGAAATAGGTCTTCCCAAATCTGAGATTTTTGATGCTTTGGGTTTTCAACAAAGTCAGGATACACAAAGAGAGGGGCTATTTTCTGGGTTTGGGCAACAGAGGACTGTGGTGGGGACAGACGGACAGACAGCAGCACTAGGTGCACAGCGTCAGTGTAGAGGCGACCACTGTTCACCTTTTGGTGCCTACTCTGGGAAGTCTCGATATGTATACTGTACATGTATGTATATTCACGTGTACGTGAATGTACGCATTCATCTAACAGAATTGGGAACATTCTGTACATAGAATTTTGTAGCTTGCTTTGTTCACCTGATAGCGTAACCCCAGGTTCAGTGTTCTTACCGAAACCTTTTTGTGTTCATTCTTGACTATTTCCTTAGGGTAAAATCCTAGAAGTGGGATTGTTTGGTCATCGCGTAAATATAACTCTTCAGCTTTGAGTACCAGCAGCCGAAGTGCCTCGTGGCATGGCAGTGACAGTTTACAGTTCTGGCGGCTCAGGTGCCCTCTTTCTCATCCTCACCAAAGCCGGGTTCTATTAAACGGTTTTGTTGCTGATTTGATAGCAGATATACTGCTTGCTGTTTCTGCTTTCATTTTGCATTTTTGGGTTTCTTTATTTTGTATATTCAGTGGTCACTTGGCTCTTTGGTGAACTGCCCATTTTTGGCCTTTCTTCTGGGATATTAGGAATTTTTTCCTTACTGATTTGTAAGTTCTTTATGTTTTAAGGATGTTACTCTGTGATGTCACGGGTACTTTTCATCGCTTAATATTTGCCTTTTATGTTTGCTTATGATATCTAAGCTTACTGTTGCTCATGTGGTGAAGGCAATACTGTATTTGATCCATGCTGTGACACACGTTCTCACGTCTTTGCCATCAGCTGTGATTTATTCTCGATGGGTCCCGCGGTCACTGCCAAGTCGTGTTAGAGTTGTCATTACCTGTGCGAGTGGATGTGGTCATTGTTGCTTGCGGCATGGCCGGAGGACTACACCGTCAGCTCTTGGGTGCTTCTGTCCACGTGCCTTTTAAGGGCCATTTGCAGAAGGAGCACAAATCCTGATGCTGTTGGAGAACCATCCATTGATACCTCCTGATGAGATCGAGAAAGGCTCAGTAACAAAACCTGCACCTGGACGGTCGGTAGCGTGGAAGGAAATCTTGGAGAGGATGATGGTGATCTCTTGGGGATGCAGCCTTGCCAATGCCCTTGGCAGCCCGAAGGTCAATATTGTGTGGAAACTCACAGATACCCCAAAAGGGAAGACTTAGCCCTCTTACTGCATTCATCCATTCCCTTTCAATCCGTTTAAATAAGCACAAAAGGGCTTTTGCAGGAGCGTCTGGCGGCTCAGTCAGCAGAGCATGCAACTCTGGATGTGGTTGTGAGTTCAAGCCCCACGTTGCACACAGAGCCTACTTTAAAACTAATTAAACAAACAAGTAAACGGGCTTTTTCCAACAAGCACAAAATTAAAATTGTAAGCAATAAGAAAAACATTAAGCTAACTAGCTGGCAGGGTTTCTTCTTTCTTTTTTCAGTCTTATAATTGATAATGTCTTAGATGAAATATGGCATATAGTTCATGGAGAAAAAGTTTAAAACATAGAGATAAATTAAAACACACACACACACACACACACACACACACACACACACACCAGAAATCGCCAGTTCCCTAGTCCTTGTCTGGAGATACGCACATACGCACATACACGTGTTCACGGGCACATTGGCTACATAGGTTCTTGGCCTACCATTTTTCCCTTCACGGTGTCTTGAACATCTTGGCATGTCTGATCCTTCTCGTTCATGTCTGAGATGACCGGTTAGTGTTTCCTTGTGTGGATCCACCATGTTCAGCTGGGCTCCCAGGGGTGACAGAATTCTAAGCTCTGAAGCAGGTTGCCCATCTCCCTTTGGAACTCCCCATCAGCAGTGCCCGCTAGTTCTTTGACCCTTACTCTTCTTAGCAGTGCTCTGTAAATCTTCTCATGTTAGCCGCTCTGAAGGGCAGATCAGTGACATCCCCCCTTTTCCTCCCACAAACCACTGGCAGCCTTCTCGATCTGGAGACCAGAAGGAAACGCATGTTGGAAACATTAGAAAGTGGGAGTCATAAGGACTTGTGACCAGATACGTTTGTGTTCTGTCCCCACCTGTTACGTTTGTGCACCTCGCCGTGGTTTGGGGCCGCTGCACGTGGCTGCAGAGGTCTCTCCCTGGCTCCCACCACCCGCCTCTCTAGTTTCTCCTGTTTCTCCGCTGTTCTCCAGCCTCCCTACCGACTTTCTGTTACTGGAACATTCCAAGGCGGTTCCTGTCCAGAGCATTTCTGTCTGCTCTTCCTCCTGTCTAGAACCCCTTTTGCACAGCTTTCTCCAGTTGTGTAAGGACCCAACTCAGCCCATTCCCTTTTCAGAGAGGCTTTCCCTCTCACGTTCTCTAACGTAGGTCCATCCGTCCTCCATGCTGTTGTCCTTCATCTGTCACAAGCCCTTCCTTATCTTCGTGTCTGGTTCACTACCGTATCCCCAATGGCTGGCACTTAGCAGACCCTCACCAAAGATAGCTTGATGGAATCAATAGTATTAACTAGACGGAGAATACGGTTGAGAGGAGGGGAAACTGCTCCTTGTCATCCAGAGGAGGGCGGTAGTAAGTCCAACGCAGAGCTTGTGGAGGGGGGCAACTCGATCAGCTTTTCAGCAGGTAGGGCTGCTGGGCATTGGAGTGAGTGCCTTCTTTGTGGTGCATAGTCAGGCAGTGGCTTGGTGTTGTTGAAGGATTCTGGCATCGGATGTCAGGGTTGACCAGGTCAGTTCCAAGGCCGCCTCCAACCCTTAGGTCCATGTTTGATGTTCGCATCACTAGTCTGTGGTTCTTGGACTGCAGATACGGCCTTTACCACTAGATGGCACTAGGTGATTCCTTTGAGGCCGGTGCCCCTCAAACCCGCCAACGGTGAGAACACCATCTTCTCTCTTTTTTTACTTATTGAAGTATAGTCGACATACAATGTCACATTAATTTCAGGCGTGCAACATAGTGATTTGACAAATCTACATATTACTCAGCACTCACCACAGTTAAGTGTCGTCACATCTGTCACCGTACTGTTATAAGAGTAGTATTGACTGGATTCCCTATATTCCACTTTTCATCTTTGTGCGTTACTTATATGACTGGGTTTGTACCTCTTAAGCCCTCTTTGCCTATTTTGTCCATCCCCCCGCCCCCTCTGGCAACCACCACCTTGTTCTCTGTGTTTAAGAGTCTATTTTGTTTGTTCGGAGAACAGACTTTTCATTGCATTTTACCCCAAACACCCACTTCAACAAAAGCTTCACAAAACCGTCTTAACTCTTA